CTGAGAATGGAATGGGTTTGGGGAAGTTAAGGAGCTTAAATAGGGCTCAAACCACATAAATAGGGTGTGGGCACTGATCGCGTATACCCAACGTACTCAATTTACACCCAACGTATTGAGACTAAGCCCAAAACCTTCCTAACTTCAAACGAACATAACTTCTTCGTTTCAACTCCGATTTCGACGGTCTTTATATCCAAGGAAAGGTATTGAAGAGATCTAAAATATTATCTAAATATCTTGGACTAAAAACTTCTCGAATTAAAATCCATATTTCATGCAAGAACTCGACCTATGACTTTTATCGCTCTACTCTTCGGCCCGAAACACAAATCAAAGGTTTAGATCTCATAACCACATTGCCTCATACCAAAAGGTCTACACGTTACCTCATTAAGGCCCAAAGCCTTTACACAATCGACTTCCAGCCCACAACCCTGAAATAAGAAATGACGGAAAACAGGATGTTACAAATACCAAATAAATTTTTTTATGTTTTAAATCAACCCAAACATTCATCCAATAATTTCACAAAGCTTAGTAAGTTCCCCAAAAAGGTGTTATGGTCCAAATCATATTCTTATCCCCTGCCATGGGCCAAATCATGGTCTATACTTGCACAAGTGTCAGGGGCCAGATCTTGATCTTCCATGCAATCGCCAAGGGCCAAACCCTAGTCTTTCATGCAAATGCCAAGGGCCAGATCCTATTCTTCCATACAATTGTCAGGGGCCAAACCCTGGTCTTCCATGCAAGTATCACAAAGACAACTAGCATCCTAACATAGTATAGTGAGAAAAATCACCTCGCAACCATGTCGTCAGCTAACAAGCTCACACAGCTAAAAAGAAAGTGCTAAACACCTCCTAAGGAAATCATTCAATGTAAATCATTAGTCTACCTTCTAAAACTAGAAATTTGACCCAAAAGTCAAACCAGGTCAAAAGCAACAGTCAAGGTGTTACACTATAAATTTTCAAATAAATTTTTCATTTTCAAAATCACATAATTCTCAATATCACATTTCAAAAACCACAATTATCAAATTGTCAAAAACACAAAGCCATAATTGTTTAATAAAATCCAGGATCCTCGAATCATAAACTCCATTTCATGTGTACAATCAAACCGACGCCTTTCCGCGATCCTGAGAAGTACCTGGAACACATATCAAATAACACGGTAAGCACAAAGCTTAGTGAGTTCCCCAAAATACCACATACACAATAATAAGCCTCTCATGGCCATAACTCGGTTTGGACCCTTCGGTCCTGTCTTAGTGGAAACCCTCCGGTCCAAAACTCGGTTTGGACCCTCCGGTCCTATCTCAGTGGAAACCCTCCGGTCCCACAACTCGGTTTGGACCCTCCGGTCCTATCTCAGTGGAAACCCTTCGATCCCACAACTCGGTTTGGACCCTCCGGTCATATCTCAGTAAAACACAGAATATAGCATATATATCACACAGACAAAATGCATAATATCACGTAACTCAAGTAAGCACATAAGACCCTCCGGACACACATAGATACCACTCATGGTAAGTATAGTGAGAAGACTCACCTTGTAAGCAAGCAAGCAAGCAAATAACCTCGTACACGAATCTCGAACTAGCCTCCGCCTAACACACAGGATAATTATCTCTAATTAATACTCTATTCACAACCCTAAATAAACCAAAGGTTACTCTCTCTTTCTTTATCTCTTGGAATGGGTAAAAGACCATTTTACCCCTCCATGGTCACCATACTCCCTGAATTGACCAAACTCTAAGGTCAACAGAAGTCAACACACGAGTCAACGGTCCATGGTGACCTGACTCGCCGAGTGCATCTATGTGACTCGTCGAGTCCCCTTGTTTCCTCTGAAATGTCGCGAAAATCCAACTTAACTCGCCGAGTTGTCTCATCAACTCGCCGAGTTACCCATGTCCAGACTCATCGGGGAAAACCCTAGCCGACTCGTCAAGTCAGCTCATTGACTCGGCGAGTCCATTCAGTCTGTGTCCTCATTCAGACGTTATAAGGCAGATCAACCACTCCAAACTCTAGATCTAGCCTCCCACGGCTCGAATGTCACATAAAGTTTCGATCTTTACGTTAATGCATGGCATATTTGCTCCATAATGCCAATACAAGCTCAAATCAAGGGTGTTAAGCACAAAAGCTCTTTTATGGCTGGATAAAGCTGGGACCTCTGGGCTCTATGGACCTCACAAGGTCCAGATCTGATGTCTCAATGCTTAGCAAGCACAAGTCATACAATATCTCAAAGAAATATGGAAAAAGCCCCAAAAGTTCCTCATTAACAAGTTCTAAACAACATGATAAGCAAGGTGATGACTTTTACCTTCCAACAGAAGCTCCAAGTGAATGAATACTGGATCCCACAGCCTTTCCTCGTTCCTTGCTTGAATCTCACTTCTTATCTTCCAATGATTCACCGAAACACTCAAATATTAGCTCTATCACTCTCTCTTAGCTCAAATGGCCGATTAGGGTTTCACACATGGATTTGGGTAGCTGGTGAGGCGGAAATGAGGACATAAGTTCCTTTAAATAGGCCCCAACCCCAGAGATTTAGGGTTTCATCTCACAGCGCCAACTCGGCGGGTAGACTCTCTGACTCGTCGAGTTAGTCATTAAACCCACGTGACCAATCCGACCCTACTCGACGAGTTGGGAACACAACTCGTCGAGTCACTCATCAAATCCCAAAAATAAATATACAAATGTAGTACCTGAGAGTCGGAATGTTCCACTAGGTCAAAGTCAACAGTCAAAATCATCATCAGTTGGCTTCCACGTCGTGGCTAACGAACCCAACCCCGATCCAAAACTTCAACTCAGTCGTAAATAACCCGATCTCCACGTTGTGGCTCACTCCATATAAAACAGATGCGAAACCCTGATCCACCACGTCGTGGGTACTAGTTGAAGACAACTTATTTGCATAAGCTCTTAATTCGTTAAGCCCTTAACTTAAACTTTTCAGGAGGCTTCTAGGGACCCTAATGGTTCATAAAAATGTCAACTTTATGGACATGCATGACCTATGCATGTCCTTCACCCAACTAGGTTATAATGGAGAGAAATGACCTAAAATCCCAAGCAAGATCCACAAATTTCAACCAAATCCTAGATCTGAAAGATATAAGACTCAACGGATCTAAGTGAGCCATAAAGTTGCAAACTTTATCTCATTGGACCAGTCAAAACTCATCAAAGGACCCAAAAATGCAAAACAACCCTAGATCTACTAAGAAGGAACCAAAAAACATTAGATCTTGAAACCTTACAAAGGGTCCAAAAGGTGATCTCAAAGATGGAAAGATGTTGATTGCTTGATTCTTGCACCAAATCTCATTCTTCTTCCTTTAAAAAGTACCAATACACCAAAGATAAGCTCAAATATAGGAGAGAGAGCATTAAGGTTTCTTCAAAGCTCTTGGAGGTGATGAAGGCTAAGGGTGGAGGAAACCTTAGCCATCACTTCCTTTAAATAAAGCCTTAAGCACAAATTTTAGGCTTTGCTAAAAAACAGTCGCCACATCGTGGCCAATATATTGTCACGTCGTGGCTGCCAATTGAGATGTGTGATTTCAGCGGGTCACACCACATCGTGGTGACACCGTCATGGCCATCTAAAATTCATAACGTAGAAAATTTTCACGTTCTTTATCTTTAGAAACATTGACATATGCACTAGCCAAACCAATGTTCACGTTCCACCTATTTCTTTCACTCCTGGCGGTGTGTATAGTTGTGTTTTTTCTCAGCAACGAGTTGCAACTCATTGTTGGTTTCTTCTTTGTTTCTTTCGGGAGTCGGGTCGTCACTAAACTGTTAGATTCTACGTTTTAAGCATCACAACACTGGGAATTCTCGGGTTGATGAGATTGGAATTGGGTTTCTGGAACCCTTTGAGAAAACTGATTCCATGGATTATTACTCTAATTTTCCTCAAGCCTAAATGTGTTGTAAGATTGTTGCACCGGGTAATATTGTTATGGATAGTTTTGATTTTGTTGGTAGTTTTGGTATTGTTGATAGTTTGGATTTTGAAAATCTTGAGAAAAAATGGAATATCTTGACTTGAATCGTCTTGTATAGATTTGTGTTTTTGGCTAGAACCGGTTTGTGTAGCTTTGCCTTGGAAATCCATTGAAGGTAGCTGAAAATTTTGAACGAATGAATATGATCAAAGGTCAAATGCATTCAAAATAAAGTTAGCAAAAGAATCAATTCTCTATCCATGCATTCAATTGGAAAGTCACATGCATGAAGTACAATAAATTCAATATCATGCAATACAATACATTCAATACTCACGGGTTGACCAACCCGTTTGAAAGCATTAAACCCACAAAATCATTGAACCCGCCAGTGCTAGGTAATGTTTCCTGACAGTACCGCCTCATCCCGTTTGTGAAACCGCAATGTTTCCCAACAGTACCGCCTCATCTCGTTTGTGAAACCGCCGTAGACTCCGCGAGGCCTAAGACAATTTTAAATAAAAAGAACACCACCTGTTCATCCCTTTGTGCCTTTTTTTCGCTTAAGACGTTCTTTTTTATTGGTTTAGTTGAATGGATAAGAATAATATCGTCTTTTTTTTGTTGTTTATGTATGTTCTAGTTGACTTATCAACGATAAAAAAAAAAAAACGATCTTGCATTACATGACTTTAAATAGAAAATAATAAAAGAAAAATTGATGACGATCTATTATGAGATATTGAAGATCATGATTATATGAGCTCCGATAATGACAAGCAAATTAGCGAAGTAGAATATCATAGGAACAAAGGCATGATGTTGAGTTTTTAAAAGAGCAAAATTTGAGCATCTAGTATTGAGAAGGGTAGTTTCCCATATTATATGTCTACATTATTATTGGTTTTGTATATTTAGTTATTTTAAAACTTGGCAAGGAAATGCACATATTTTCATATGTAGAGGCAGGTAGGTTAGAATCAGTTGAAATCCAAACAAGGAGAAAAAAACAACATATAGCATTCATTCATGATCCAAAAGAAACGATAAAAGACAAGACGTACGTGCACAATCCTCAGTCCATGTGCTATTGTAGTCCAAAACCAAAACTAAAACCAAACCCAAAACCTTATCAATATGTACAAATTTGCTAAAAAAAAACAAAAAACGTTAGTTAGTAAGTAGTAGCACCTCCTACTTGAAGCATCTGAATTCACAACTCTAAGCACAGATCTGTATGTAGATGAAGAAAGAAAGCCCACGCAAAACTAAACTGTGACATCTCATGACACTGTCCGACCATAACAAACTGAAGCAATATACAGATTCTTCCCCCATTTTTCCTGTTGTTACATATTATATTATTAGTTATTAGTTATTAAATCAACTCAAACAAACAAATAAATAAGCTAAGGTCACGTTAGTTACAGTTGATGACATAACAATTAGTATTTGTGTTCGATTGATGTCAATGAGGCAATATTTGCAAATTTTGTGTAAATGAAAAAGGTGTGGAACAAAGAGCCGGAACCATAGAGGGATTTGCTTCTGATGGAAAAGACAAAAACACCCTTGTCCATATCATGAATCATCATCATCATCATGGAAAACAGCCCTAGAGTAGAAAGGGATATTTTTCCATGACAAGGGATGAAAGATGAAAAGAGCATTTTCAGCCTTTGCACATACAAGAGATGAAAAGCAAAAACCTCTACCTCCTTCCTTGTTCCACCTTTTCAGATTAGAAATTGCAAATGTATATGTGAAATGGGGAGTTGATATTATTTATTATTATCGGATGCTGACCTTAACATGTGTACTAGGAAAAGCAGAAGTGCGCAATGTTTCCTGCGTCTCATCTGCAGGCTTTCTTCTTGGGACACTAAGAACAAAAGCAGCTTGGTCCCACGTTGCAGCAGTTGATGTTATCCTATATCCACCATCCCATCTTCTATGAATACCTTCACTTGGATACAAAAAGTCCAGCTCCACCACCTGAATTCAAATCAATTCACATCAATCACTTAAATATGCTTTCATTCAATCGGGTATTCTATGAATACCCACCAACACTTTTTTGTCTATTTCAAATAAAAAAAAAATTATTACTTAAAATATTGAAAATTTGTATAAGAGCAGTGTTTTAAATCTGGAAAAAAGAAAAACCTGATCAGAAAATCCAGCACCACGGGACATAACAATTGCCCATTTACTTCCTGCAGTTGCCATAGCAGTGACATGAAACCCCTCTCTCCATTTTTTATTTATCCACTTAAATGGAAATGATTCACTGACTTTATAAGACTGCTGAATGTATTGAGTACCTACTTATATACAAAGAAATTTAGAATACAAACAATTATGACCTAAAAAAGATATATAACAATTCTGCCCTTACCCCTCGACATTACAACCAAGGAGCTCCCATTGTTGGCACCTGCTATTGCACTTATGTAGTAGTTCTTCTCCCATTGTTCCATAATCCAATCCTTCAATAACACACAAAACTTCAGTTTATGAAAATTTTTGGTAAATAGAAGAGACAATACCCAAAAACAAAGAATGGATCATGAACCTTGTTAAGAAACATGGGGGAGAGTTCATAAACTTGATGAGTGAATCCAGTTCCTGCATCCATGATAAGAGCCCATAAGTTTTGGCAAGAAGCCACACTGCTGATGAACAATCCATCTTCATTTCCTTTCTGAATATGTCCATGAAGTCTCACATCTGCCACGTTATAATGATACCTACAACACACAACAAATTTCTCAATAACTTTTTTAACCACACGAAAAAAAAAAAAAAAAAAAAAAAAAAAGTCTTACCTCTGTTTCATTGGGCGACGTGCATTGTAAACACTTATCCATTGAGTTGCAGGTGTTCCCATGCGAACCTTCTTCTTTGGTTGTTCTTCATCACCTTCCTCCATTGTAAATCTTCCTCTCTTGTGCCCAACTTGATACATGAGCTATATATAACACCATACATACAAACATGTTGCTGAGAAGAGCATTTTCGACTTTTCACACCAAGAGAAGTAAATGCCTTCTTCATTCAAACATATGTAAATTTTGAACACATACCTTTTGAGCGCCTTCAGTGTTGATGGGCCTAATATCAGGATTTGGGCCAACAATTCCATCAAAAAGTGAAATATATTTTGCATAATTCGGTTCCTCATCGAATTTCAAATTGACAACATATTCAACAAAGTGGCGAAATGGAGCAGGACAGAAGGCACAAAGTGTTTCTGGAGGAGTTGCCATCTTCTTCTTGCACACTTGGAACCCTTTGTTTTCTCCCTAAATAAAATAAACCACCATGTAAGAAGAATAGCAACAGACATTTCAGAATCAAAAAGTCAAAAAGTCAAAAGTCAAAAGTCAACCTGGAATCCTTGCCATGGTAGTCTACCACGAAGAAGAAACACAAGTGTATAGGCAAGTGATTCCAAATCATCTCTTCGACTTCCTGTTCTTCCAAGATGAGCATGTACACTTGCATACCGAACAGTTCCCCTGAATAAATAAAGTGAAATTAAAATTAAATGAAAAAAAAAAAAACAAAAAGAGATAACAGGAAACAAGAAAAGATCATCACAAACGTACCTAAAAACATCTGGTCTTTGATCATATTCAACATGAGATCCAGATGAAGTATCTCGCCACTTGGTGGCTGAAATATAAAAAAGTGTTTTAGCTTTTTGTTGTAATTGATTAATATATAAATGTTTGTGGGAAAATACCCAAAAAGATTAATGATTTACCTAAACCAAGATCAACAAGAAATAGTTTCTTCTCATCTGATGTTCCTGGAGAACCAAGCAAAAAATTCTCAGGTTTAACATCACCATGTACATACCTGCAAATTGCAACACATCATTAACATTACATTATAGATAACTTACTGTGTTGAAAAGTTAAAAATCAAATAAATAAATAAAGCCTACCCTCTGGAGTGGATCTTTTCTAAAATGGAGATGGCTTCAATGGCAATGCATGCAACCATTTCAGTTGACATCCTAAAAAACATGAAATAGTTAATAAAGCATCAAAAGACTGTAACTTGTTAAAGGTTAAAAACAAACATACAAATATATTCAAGTAGGCTACAATTTTCATCCTTGTGCTAAGTAATTTTCTTGAATCAAAACTAAAGAAAAATACTAAGCATAGGGACCAAAAATGTAGTTTACTCAATACATTCTAGAGGTATAGTGAAATGAGAAATTACGTGTGTGAGTTGTTATTCCAGACATCCCATAAGCTAGGTCCAAGCATGTCCATGACCTTAAAAAAAATATAAATATTAGCTAGCATCCAAGAAAGAGTGAATTTTGTACAAAAAGTGAAGTTAAATACATACCATTATGTAGTATTCACCTTGCCTACCCTTAAAATGTACACGTGGTACACCATGACTTCCACCAAGAGCACTGAACATTACACACCAATAAATCATCAATTTAGCCATATAAGAACCAAAAATGTCGAAGCATACAAAAGTTGAAATGGAAAAACAAATTGACTTACTTGTAAACCTGCCATTCATATGGTGGCCCATAGTTACATCCTTTGCTGCTTCTGTGTTCAAATTTCAATGCAACCTTTTGAATCACAGGTAATAGATTAGATGACATTATTCATTCTTGCAACTATTATATGAGAATATGCAACCAAAAAATATGTGATACCTCTATTGCTCCAGGACCAGTTCTTTCATTAGGAACTGGTGCATTCATGCGTCGCCCAACATATACCTGCCCAAATCCTCCCTTTCCAAGTTTTCTCTCAATCTTATATGATGGGGAACTGCCAACTTGGACCTGTTGTTGATGAAAGACATAAGCAATATTAATCAAAGTGTACAGAATGAAAGATAATTTTAAGACCCATATAGACAAAATTGCCTTGTTTAACTGAATGTACTCAAAACATGCTTCAAAAGACCAAAAGGAACAATGTTTGGAAGAACAAGCAGAGGGAAAATGAGACTTCAATCCACATCTATTGTTCATATACAAAAAACTTCATTTTTTGATACTCAATAATAGCCAAAATTAATCAACTGTTAGATTAAAAAAGCTGTAGAATATTTGAAGGGGATATGAAACCAAAATCCAAAAACACAATGAATAAACCAAATAAACACAAGCTTGACTTTAAGCAATTAAATCCTTGAAAAGTAATGTAAGAGAATCTATAAAGCTAAAACAGACCATAAATTCCATCAGATGGGATAAAATACTATTAAAATACTCAGGCATCAAGCCGTTGAATATTAGCAAAAATCCAATCCATGATGACAGAAGCAAATGTCTAATCATATAAAGTGTTAGACTATATAACCTTCCAGTTATTATTTTAATCGATAAAATTAAGACTTCAATTGAAAGAGGATAGACTTTTACCCTTTCAGGAAGTGGCGCGGTGCTGCCTTCTTCTTCAGCACCCAAATTCTTATCGGCGCTCAGGCCTGCACTATCGTAGTCATCCATCTCCTTTTCCCCAACTTCCTCCTCTTCTTCTTTTTCCTTCTTTATCTCCGCCGCTGCTAATTCTTCGTTTTTACCTTTCTCTTCTTCCTGTGGCGTCGTTCTTACTGCAATCTTCTCATCGGCGTCTTCATCGCTCACCACCGCCGGTTCCTGCGCCGCTTTCTTCCTTCCCCGTCCGTTCTTCTGTACGACTGGATTAATTTGTCCTGTTTTCCTATTAGCTTTTCTCCCTTTCTTGATCGTTTTCTTCTCTTCCTCTTCGACTGGCTTCGGTTTGGTATTATCAGCAGCAATCGGTCGTTTCGATGGTCTCCCTATGCGTACTCCGCTACGCAATTGAGGCATTATCGATCATCCGTAAATCAAAATTGAGTAAACATAAAAACCTAATTCCATCATGACGCCGAATCGATCACTGTATGAAATTCAACCAAATACGCGATGAAAAAAATCGAATCAGTGTATGTACAGTGAAATTTTACTCGAGTTACGGTTCCGATTGATGAATTTTTCAGAGATCTGTGGAGGGAAACGAAAAAATGCTTCAAAATTTAGCTAAAATCGGAATTAATAAAAAAGAAATTTACACAATATGCATAAATAATTGTTTACGCATCCTAGGGTTTATGCGTGTGAATTATATTGGAGAATTCTAGTGAGATTTCAGCGAGTGTAGAACAAGGTGTTTCAATCGCTTTGTTGGCGAGTGTGGCGGTGATTTATTCGTGTTACCATAAGCAATAAGAAATTTCCAGAACAAATAGGGTGGAAACTAGAAAGGCATCGTCACATAAGTTTGCAATATTTGCAATTTAGCCACTAAGCTTTATTTTCTTTAACAGTTTGAGAAAATGTGTGAAACCCCACCCCAACTCGAGTTTAAGAATTATTAGGTGTTGTTTTGTTCGCAGTGTTGTCGGAAGAATTGGAATTGAAAACGGAATCTGTAATTTTTATGTGTTGTTTGGTTTATGGTTTAGGGTTTATGAAACGGTTTGTAGAAAATGAAATTGAAATTTATGTAAAATGACAAAATCATTTTGTCCATTTTGCTTAATTTTACTTTGTTTTCTAAATTATATGTAAACATATATTATATAAATTATTAAAATAGTAAAATTTTAATTTATTGATTGAACATTCATACCAATATATTACAGAAATCATGTTAATAAACATCATAACTTAAAGTCATTCAACTTCGCATCATAATAACGTTACCAAAAAGCATAACAATATTTCGATACATCCCTATCGAAGATACCAAAAACTTAAAAATACAAAATATCAAGAAACATCATAATAAACATCCTAAAAGAACTTAAAAATCCAAAATATGAATTAACATCCTAATAAGCATCCTAATTAATAATATTACCCTTCCAAAATGTATTTGACCCAAACCTCTCTATCGTCTTCTTCAATTTGCCAAAAGTTTTGTACGTTTATAAGTTCACTTCTTATCTTGGCCAATGCTTTGAACTTCTCAACTTCACTTAATGAATTCATCTTTAAAATCTTCGGAGGGATCTTCTCACTCAGTTCGTTGATCTTCATGTCAAATTTAATACCTTGACTCAAGTCCTTTGATATTTCTTTAAGACTTTCTGTAATCAAACCAACGCATTATGGAACACATCGTTAGTACGACGTTTCCTCTTATTAGAGCGAACACTTGGTAAAATTTCCTCATTTTGCACTATTGTATTATGGCTGATTTTTTGTTCATACAAATTCATATCATATTAAGGATGTAATGTAATTTTCTACAAGTAAATATAACATTGAGAGTGTAAACAGGAAGCATTTGCTACTGTTGTTAAATAGCACCATTCGTTTTCATAAATGTTGTTGTTAAAAAAAAGATGAACAAAAATAGGAAGCATTTGTTGCTGTTACAAGCTATTCTCATTGATTAATGGAGAACGACCTCATTTTCAAGAAGATAAACAACATTGTTTTCACATAAACAACAGATTTTTAATAAGCATTGATCTTCACATAAATCGATTTTCAAGATCTTCACCGAAATCGATTTGTTGTTTTTACATACTCAATTTTAACATAAAATTGACAAATTCAGTTTTCACTTAAATCGATTTTTAGGAAGATAAAAAGCCCAATTTCGACTTTCACATATTCGATTTTCACATATATGGATTTTCACAGCAAGAAACAGGGTTCAATCAGCAAAAAACCATCGATTTTTTACAGGAATTTAAGAGGTGGAGAGAGAACGCCAGATATTCAGAGTGAGAGACATCGAGATCGATAGTTGTAGCGATACACATACCTGGCAAAGAGATTGAGAAGATGAGTTGAGTGTGATGTCGGTTGCAATTCGATTTTAACGAAGAGATGGAGTGTCGGCTGCAATTGATTTTGATGAATACGTGAGATAGGGTTTGGTTTTTAGAATTGTTTTGTTAAAATAAAAGGGGTATAATGGTAATGTATCACTTTCCTTGATAGCATAAAATTATTTCCATCATTTTGTTAAAGGGGTGTATTTTTCTCCAAATGAAGGAATGTTTCTCATTTAGGATTCCTTTTCCTTCTTTAAAGTTGAACCAAACGCAGGATTCAGGGGAATTGGAATCATGTTCTCTCGAATTCCAATCCTTTCCTGCTAACCAAACACGCTCTTATGTTTTATTTATTTCTATTTCTGTTGTATAGCTTAAATGAAACTAAAATAATTACATGACATTGTTAATTTTTAGAAACTATAATTATTATTATAACATAGGTGATGTTTGTTTTTTCTGGATAAAAATGTCTACAGTCTGCTGATTACATATGTAGACCTCTGCAGTAGAAAAGATGGACCAAACGTCTACAGTCTGAAAGAATAAGACGACTGTTTGTTTTTTAACATTTACAGGCTGCTAAAATAAACTAAACTCTAAATAAACCGATTCTTTAAGAAAAACTTAAAGATTTATCAATACTTTTATGAATTTATTAGTGGTAATTAACAAATTTATATCAACTTTTATGTATTATTATATAAAAAGTGAAAATATAATGGTACGAGTTAATGTATATATTCGATAAAAACCAACAAGTTTTGGCCGCAAAGTTATACCTAAACATTGTAATTAGAGACAAAGAATTTGATACATAAAATTGATGTAAATAAGCTTCGATTTTAAAATGAAATTTTTTAAAATTTTCATTTTACTTTTTCAATTAAATCAATTAAAATTTGACTATAAATTTTCTCCCAATAAATGGGTGATACTACATTAAATAATGTTTTATAAAATTTGGCACAAAAAAGATAAGACAATATTAAGATTTTTTTCATATCTATATAAACAACTTCAACAACCATTATTGTAATTAAATTTTTATTTATAAATTTGTCACAAAGGTCATGCGTGTGTTGTCATCTTGTCGAACCTTTTTTCTTGAAGTATTGTAAAAAATTAAAAATAAAAAACAAAAATGTATATGTTTTTTAAGGGTAGAAGATGTATGAAGAGGTTAGAAGACTTTGGTCCACATATACGCCAAGAAGAGGACGCGCAAACCCTTTTAGGTTTGTAGTATTCAAGATAACAAACAGTATGTGAAGGCTAACGTCTGTATGTTGTCTGCACAGCGCAGACAGAAGAAGCCAAAAAAAAATAGAAGACAAAAAACAAACAACACCATAGTGTTGTCATTTTGCACAAAAATATACTACCATTAATTTCTAGAAACTATAATTATTATTGACTTTAAGCTTTATAATCGAAATCAATGTTCTCAAGTACTTATTTTAGTCTCACATAGGTTATACAACCAATTTTTTTGTATTACATAGTTACGAATAAGTATATCAATCAAATTTATAAAATATAGCTACTTTAATAGACGTAGAAATAACATAATGATTTTTTTAGCATTGGGAATAATAAGATGGGGTTTTATATCTTTTCCCTACCACTTTTCACAAAATTATGTAATTTTGTTTTCGGAAAATCTTTTGAAAAGTCTTTATATTTTGATCTCATTTTATGAAAAATCATGACTTTTAAAAACATAAAAGATAGAAAATCATGTAAAATATTCTGAAGAAGCAAAGAATCGAGTAATGAATTAATCAGAGTATGAATTCAAAGTATTAATGCGAGATTTGGACACAGTATGTAAATATGATCTTGGTTCAGCTCAATTACGCTTTCAAGTTTTACAGAGTACAAGATGTAATTCTGTAAAAGACTTCGTCCTTATGACCCTAGTAAACACTCCTATTTATAGGAGAGGAAAGCATACAAAAAATATACTAAGGACTAAGCGTTAAGCTTCGAATACAATGCCCTAGTAAAATAAATTACAGAAAGTTCGAAGACACCAAAACAAACTTCGACTAATTACAACACTTCGACTCTAACAATCTCCCCCTTTGTAATCATAGTCGAAGTCTTCAGTTCGTAAGAAGTGTGATGGAGTACAGCAAAACTCTTCGAACCTCTGTATACCATGAAATAATCTTCTTCAACTCCTTATTGTCTCCTTCATTGTTTTTCTTGCAATGATTCATACGAACAATTAAGTTCGTATATTGAGACGTAGAGTACCTTTCTACTTCACTTGCCTGGAACAAGAATCGTTTAGCTTTTCCTGTTTTATCTTTTCCAGCAAAAACTATTCCAAATGGCTTAAGACAAATTTCTCCATCAGCATATTTCTTCAATTAGGTCTGAGTCTTCGAAGGAGCCATTGGAGCTTTTATTTCCATTCCCTTGGCAGTTGCTAACTCCACATCGGTCATTGCCAAACACTCATAATAATTTTCGATGAAGATTTTGATGTGAGCAACTCCAATCTTGAATTCTTCTGGATCTGTGTTTTGTAGGAATGAAAAAGATTTGTCTTTTAAAAGCAATGCAACTTGTATGAGATCATACAAGTTCATAAATGGAAAACGGAATCTGTAATTTTTATGTGTTGTTTGGTTTATGGTTTAGGGTTTATGAAACGGTTTGTAGAAAATGAAATTGAAATTTATGTAAAATGACAAAATCATTTTGTCCATTTTGCTTAATTTTACTTTGTTTTCTAAATTATATGTAAACATATATTATATAAATTATTAAAATAGTAAAATTTTAATTTATTGATTGAACATTCATACCAATATATTACGGAAATCATGTTAATAAACATCATAACTTAAAGTCATTCAACTTCGCATCATAATAACGTTACCAAAAAGCATAACAATATTTCGATACATCCCTATCGAAGATACCAAAAACTTAAAAATACAAAATATCAAGAAACATCATAATAAACATCCTAAAAGAACTTAAAAATCCAAAATATGAATTAACATCCTAATAAGCATCCTAATTAATAATATTACCCTTCCAAAATGTATTTGACCCAAACCTCTCTATCGTCTTCTTCAATTTGCCAAAAGTTTTGTACGTTTATAGGTTCACTTCTTATCTTGGCCAATGCTTTGAACTTCTCAACTTCACTTAATGAATTCATCTTTAAAATCTTCGGAGGGATCTTCTCACTCAGTTCGTTGATCTTCATGTCAAATTTAATACCTTGACTCAAGTCCTTTGATATTTCTTTAAGACTTTCTGTAATCAAACCAACGCATTATGGAACACATCGTTAGTACGACGTTTCCTCTTATTAGAGCGAACACTTGGTAAAATTTCCTCATTTTGCACTATTGTATTATGGCTGATTTTTTGTTCATACAAATTCATATCATATTAAGGAT